AGCCATAGAACCAGCCATATTAAGCCATGGACCTAGCCAAGAAGCAGCCAGAGAAAGCAAAGGAACTAGTCATAGAGCTAGGCAGAGCAAGCCACGATATAAGCCATAGGAGTCCATGGAACTAGCCATGAGAAGCCATGGAACGCACCATAGGATGCCATGGGACCATCCAGAAGTCATGGAAATAGTCATGGGATTAGCAATACTGCGCACGGTCAAACTCACTCCCGCGCCCGGCCTTCGTGGACCAGTTCTCTACGGATTTAGCTGCGACTCCAATAGGCAACCCTACTTGGATAACTATCCATATATAGCCATGGAACTAGCCATGGAACTAGCCGTGGATCTAGCCATGGAAATCGCCATGGACCCAGCCATAGGAAGCCATGGGATTAGCCATAGCAGGGCACGGGGTCAACCGTGACAACCCATGGAAGTCGCCATAGAAGGCCATGGCACCAACCATAGCAAACCGTTGAGCTAGCCATAGGATGACATGAAACCAGCCATTGGGGGCCACGGAACTAGCAATTGAAAGCCGTGGAACTAGCCAAATGAGCAATGCAACTATCCAGAAGCCATGGAACGGCCAAGACCGCACAAGGTCAAATTTTGGGCCCGCGCCCGAAACTTCGATATATATATATATATATATATATATATATATATTCTCCAGGCCTGCCTATTTGGGCGAACAAGTTGAACACCGAACATCAACAGTGACTGCATTGATGGAGGTGATAACAGACTCATGATGACATAAAAAAGCACAGCTTCAACGATATTGCAACAACCGCGATGTGCAACCGAGGCCTACGGCTTCAAGAGCACGGCCACGTAAAATAATTAATGTCCTGGAATATTTGGGATAAATGTCTTAAATGTCCCGGCCCCCCCCAGATCCCCCAGACGGAGCGCGCCAGAGTTACTGCTGTGGTCGATGTCTGCTCGTCATACCGAACTTTGCAAACAAAACTGACACACCTCGAGTGTCTGACTTTTCCTCGTCCTCGCAGACTTGAAATGACAATGGGCGCGAGGGCTTCACTCTTCAACTCAATGTTGCAATCAACATCGAAATCCTTGAGAACTGCTTGTGCTCCCAACGCTACTGATCCACCCTCACCATTCCGCAGTACTCTGCTTCTCCAGATGGCAACGACTCTGCACTCTGACTCGAACTCCACGACATCATTACATGCGATCCCCTCATAACTTTTCCTCCAAAAGTGGATTGACGTGTCCGCATGCATCCGGCAAAGTCAATGTCGGCACACACTGTTCACTCCAGAGGGCGCTCCTGGCACAAGAACTGATACCCATACTTCTCGTGGTTCTTGAGATACTTGCCCACCGTCTAATGTCGCTTCCATGCACGTCGGTTTGGAGCTGACATAGAGCGTCCAAGCTCCTTAACCGAAAAATGTCATCCGAACGGTCCTGTGCAAGATTGTCGACTGGAACCACCAAAGCTTGACACTTCTTCACTGGGTGATTTGCGAGTGGCTCCTTGTTTCTTCCTCGTGCGCTCCCTTTTCCCTGGGCATCTCACATCCCACTTCGTACTGCTGCAGGCCCGATTCCCTGACGCTTATCTCTGCAGGTTTCTGATATGCCTCATACCATCGCCCGTCCAGGTTCCATTCTATGAATCAATTGAGGATCCGGAGCGACTTCAAATCTTTCGGTCCTGCTCAGAGGATTGCTCGAATTCTAACTTCAAACGTATTGTTGCTTTCCCCTTCGAGGCAATCAAGAATAACATCCTTGCGTAATAAAGTGAACCCACCCTCATCATGATCAGAAGCATCATCATCAGCATCATCATCTTCAGCATCATCATCATCGTCCTCGTGAGCATCAGCATCATCATCATGAACATCGTCATCATCATCATCGTCATCATCAGAATCACCATCATCAGCATCATCAGAATCGTCATCGTCATCGTCACCATCATCATCACAATCATCAACATCAACATCACCATCAGATCACCGTCATCATCATACCATGGCCTGAGTCGTGACCCTGAAAGTGGTCGGAGTAGAGTAATAAAAAAAAACACATCCTTAAGATGTATGGGAAAACGCTTCCGGAAACCATCGCCCCCCCCCCTTGGCGCCCACCCCCGCCCCCCCTCTGACCCCCCGCCCCCCACCCTCCCCGAGGAGGGAAAAAAACACCCGAGGTGGAAACAACAAGAGAGACCCCCCGAGGGGGGGAAAGAATAGCACCCCCCACGAGGTGAAACAAGACGGCCCCGAGGGGAAAAAACAGAAATGCGTCAGAAAAAAGGAACGCCGCGGCACCGCCCCAAGACGGGGGGCGGACCCTCCCCCCGAGAAAAGAAAAAACATATCCCTAACCCCCCCCCCGACGACTCACCGAGGGAAGCAAAAAAGACCGGATGGGGAAAAAGACGAGCCTGGCGCGGGGCGCGCCTCCAGCGCCGATCCAATAAATGCGAGGGGATATCTGGAAGTTGACGCTCATGCTTAATGTCGCCCTGGTGGTCCTCCTCCTCCTCCTCCTCCTCCTCCTCCTCCTCCTTCTTCCCCTATGACTCCTCTTCCTTCTCCTCGTTCGCAGAAGGGCAAGCGGGGGAGCTCTGTGGGAGCCCTCTGTGCGCGCTCTTGGGGCCGCCAACCGCTCTGCGTACACGTGATCATTGTGAGCAAAGCTTCTTGGACCAACGCTGGGCCTCCACTCCTTTTCGCGCGCGGGGCGCGCCAGGCGCGGCGCCAGGGGCGCGGGGCTCGCTCACGAACGCGGACCTCTGACAAAAAACGTTCATTTGTGTTTTTGTTTGTTTCTCGGGCTTCCTCGCCCACCCCTCCTCCTCCTCCTCCTCCTCCGCATTTTCTCCCTCTCCTCCTCCTCCTCCTCCTCCTCTTCCTCCTCCTCCTCCTCCTCCGCCTCCTCCTCCTCCTCTGCCTCCTCCTCCTCTGCCTCTGGCTCCTCCTCCTCGTCCGCAGAGGGCAAGGGGGGCGCCCTGGGAGCGCCCTGCCGGCGCTGCCAACCGCTAGTCATAGACGTAAGCTTTCTGAGGAACGTGCTCTTTTCTTGGATCAGTCGGAGATCTGCTGACCCGGGTCAATCCAGGCCCGGGTCAATCAGGCCTTGCAGGATCCTGCAAGATCCTGCACCCAAACCCGGGTCAATGCGAAGGATCCCGCAGGATCCTGCAAGATCCTGCACCCAAACCCGGGTCAATGCGACCCTGGCCCTGCAGGATCCTGCAAGGTCGGGCGCTCTGGCTGACCCCCGTTTGCACCGACCCCCGTCTCAGGGCTCCCGAATCAGCGCCGGACTCGTCTCTCCGGGGCGTGGGGCGCGCCAGGGGCGGCACGAGAAGCGCGGGGCGCGCTTCCAGCGCCGATCCGATTCATATGCGCGGGACTTCTTAGTTTTGTGGTTGTTTATCTGTAGCGTGTTGTTTCGTTCATCGGTGCTTGTCCTCTTTCGTTGGCACTTTTTCGTTTGGTCCTCTCCCGTTTAGTCTGATTTCGTTTCGTCCTATTTCGCTGTCTTCTTTCGTTTCGTCTGCTTTCATTTCGTCTTCTTTCATTTCGTCCTCCTTCGTTTCGTCCTCCTTCGCCTCGTCCTCTGACGTTTCGTCCGCTCGAAACGCGCGCGGGGCGGACACGCATCGAGCGGGCGAATTGCACCCGGACGAGTTGAAATCTGACGAATTTGAAACCAGGATGAATCGACATCCGCTCGAAACGCGTGCGGGGCGGACCTGCACGTGCGTTTCGAGCGGGCGAAATGGAACCCAACGACATGAACAGCGGACGAATTGAAACTGGACGAAATGAACAGCGGACGAACAGAACAGGACGAATCGAATAGGACGAATCGAACAGGACGGAATGAACATCGGACGAAATGAAGGGGAACCCTCTGGGGCCATCTGGGAGGGTTGGAAACCCTAAGAATCGAAACCCTAAAATCCTTCAAACACCGGATGGAAGTCAATGATTCCCGCGTCCTGGAAGCACTCGTGCCTGTACTCTTGGGCCTTTCTTGTGGCGTGTTGAGGGCCTTCTGGCCCGTGTTGAGGTCATCGTGGGCCGTCTTGGACCGCTCGGGGCCCTCTCCCTGGCCCCTTGCCCCCTCTTGGGTGCCTCTTGGAGCAGTCTGTAGCCGCGACGAACGTACCCCCGATGGATACGAGGGCCAGTGTGGAAAAACAGATGCACGGCTGGTAAAATTCCAATAAAACTCTCAAACGTGGTCTGCTGTGTTCTTGGACTCGGTCGTCGCCGAAAGTGCGATGCAGATCGCGCCCCCAAGTACTACGCAAGACGCGGTCGTCGTAAGGCCGTGGTGGGCCGCTGTTATGTGACCGGGACTGGCGACGGCGATGCGCAATAGCCAACGCAACCGGGTTGCGGGTACTTCAGACAGCGCATTGCAATAAGCACGGCCAGTTCTTTTCCGTGCAAATCGGAACCTATAGTGGCAGAGTGCCACCTACGGCCTCAGAAAGGTTCGCATCTCGCCCAGTCGCCTATTGAGGCACACCTATCACACGGATCGTGCAGGACAGGGAATTCCACCTGACCTACGGGTTCACGTGGCGCGCCCCCCCCCCGCCCATTGCGGCGCACCGCTCACGCGGATCGTACTCCGCAGGTAGCACCACCCACAGCTCCAGAGACAAAGTTCGCACAACATGCCCCCGACCATTTCGGCACGCCCCTCACGAGAATCGTGCCCCGGGAAGAGCTCCACCTACGGCTCCCGCGTGGCGTCCCCCCACCCAATTCGGCACATGCCTCTCGCGGATCGTGTCCCAAAGGAAGATCCACCTTCACGCAGACCGTGCTCCACGCTTGCTCCGCAGCAGCCCCCAATCCGCACTTCCCTGCGGCGCGCAAAGGCTAACTGCTTCCTTAATGAAAACGCCTATGGCGAACCACCGCCGCCCCCTGCCCTTTCGGGCGCGCCGATGTGGCCGAGCTTTGTGTCCGGAGCTTGGACAAGCTGTCGGACTATGCGTTCCCCGATCCGTTGTGGAAACGCTTGGGGGAACTCTTGGAGGAGAAAGAGGAAGAGGAAAGGAGGGAGGAAACTCTGGGGGCACCCTTGACAGCAGAGACGCCACTGCAGCTTGAGCTGCCTGGAAATAGAGCATACGCGCTGTCACGCCGACTGGCGGAGCACGCGCAAGAAGACGAAAAAGAAAGCGGGCAGCGGACAGCAGTTATGTTATTGTCGCCAGGCGGCCCAGCGGCAAGCGACGGGCGCGCTGGGCGCGCGGGCCCAACATCCGCGAGAAACCCTTCAGCACAAGCACTGATTGGAGAATCATCGGTGAAACAGCCCAGCGTGCTTTCGACGCTCGGTGTCATTAGACTCGCTTGCAACTGAACTTCACAACATCGTGTTAAAGGGACGCCTAACACTTAGAATCCTCTGCAGCAGATGTCCACGCCGACCACTGCTTCTGTTTTGCAAATGAGACGAAGTCGTCCTCCCACAGCGTACAGCGCCCTGGGCGAGATCTGACCGTGCAGCACTGAGTACCTCGGGATTGCTATCTCAATTAAGAACAGTCTCTCCGTTGTGTTGTTCGCTTGGTCCTACTGGAATTCGGCATGCTTGCTACCTTTCTGGCCTATTTCCGTTTGGATCCCAAGTGCCCTTCAACCCAGCATCACTCAGAAAGCAGACAGACGGCAGCCTTCGAACATCATGCGCGCGCTGTCACGCCAGCTGGCGGAGCACGTGCAACAAGTATCAAGATGTGGAGAAAAACGGGGATGGATGGGGAGGGGAGGTCTCCGCGAATTTTGCCTCTTCCAGCATTCCTGGAACTCCTCTTGGAGGCCTCTTGGGCTGTCTTGGAAGCCTCTTGGGTGCTTCTTGGACCGTCTTGAACAATATTGTGGCCATCTAGGGCCGTCTTGGGTGCATCTTGGGCCGTCCTGGAGACATCTTGCGGCCATATTGGGCTCTCGTCGGGCCATCTCGGCCGTCTTGGAGGCCGTCTTAGCCGTCTCGGGGGCCATCGTAGCCGTCTTGGAAAGACGAACCCACGACCCGCCTAGGCTCCCGGGCGTTCGGCGGCTTTCCAGGTGGCAGGCGAGTTGAGCCGAGAGACCCCGCTGAATGTTTAGAAGAAGGCTAAACACGCCTCAGAAATTTAGCGCGCCGTGTGACGAATCTCTATCGGACCATGCGTTCCCCCAGCCGTTGCGGAAACCATTCGGGGAACACTTGGGGGAGAATGGTGGGGAAGATCAGGAGGAGGAGGAGGAGGAGGAAGAGGAGGAGGAAGAGGAGGAGGAGGAAGAGGAGAAGAAGAGGAGGAGGGGGCTTTTTGGGTGCCTCTGGTGGCACTTTTGGAGCCCCCTGGGAGCGTCCTGGGACCCTTCTGGAAGTATCTTGGGGGCCTCTTGGCTCTTTTGGGGGCTTCTGGGGGCTTCTCGGGGGCTTCTTTAGCCGTCTTAGGGCATTCCTGGCCCGTCTGACGACGTCGGAAGCCGTCTTGGGGCCCCTCTGGGCCGTCTTGGGGCCCTCTTGGGGTGCTGCAGGGCCGTCTTGGAGGCCATCTTGAGCGTTTTGGAAGCCTCTTGGGCCACCTTGGGGCCCTCGTGGGGGCCTCCCGGGTCATCCTGGGGCCCTCCTTGAAGCCTCTGGGGCGATCTTAGGGCGATCTGGAGGACCTCTTGGGTCGTCTCGGGCCTTCGGAAAACCGGAAAGAAACCAGCGTCAAAATCCTTCAACAACAAATGGCAAATCAATGATCTGGGCCTCTTCGGTCCTTCCTGGAGGCCTTCTTGGATGCCTCTTGGGCCGTCTTGGAAACGTCTTGGGGGCCTCTTGGGCCGTCTTGGGCCATCTTGGAGCCATCTTGGACCGTATTGGTGGCCTCCTGGCCCGTCTGACGCAGTCGGGAGCCGCCTTGGGAGCCTCTCTGGGAAGACTTGGGGCCCTCTTGGGGTGCTGCAGGGCCGTCTTGGAGGCCATCTTGGGCGTCTTGGAGGCCTCTTGGGCCGCCTTGGGGGTCTCTCGGGCCGTTCTGGGGCTATCTTGGGGGCCTCTGGGGCGATCTTAGGGCGATCTGTAGGACCTCTTGGACCGTCTCGGGCCTTCCGAAGGCCGAAAAGAAGCCAGCGCCAAAATCCTTCAACAACACATGGACAATCAATGATTTGGGCCTCTGCGGGCCTTCCTGGAGGCCCTCTTGGAGGCCTCTTGGGCCGTCTTAGGCCGTCTCGGGCCGTCTTGGGCCATCTTGGAGCCATCTTGGGTCGTCGTGGTGGACTCCTGGCCCATCTGACGCCGTCGGGAGACGTCTTGGGGGCCTCTCTGGGCCGACTTGGGGCTGGGATGCTTCCAAGGTCTTGGAGGCCATGTTGGGCGTCTTGGAGGTATCTTAGGCATTATTGGAGCCCTCTTGGGGCCGTCTTGGGGGCCTCTTGGGCCGTTCTGGGGCTACCTTGGAGCCCTCTTGGGCGATCTTGGGGCGATCTTTTGGAACTCTTGGGCCATCTCCGGCCGTCCGAAGTCCGCAAAGAAGCGAATGCCCAAATCCTTCAAAACCACAAAAACAAAAATGATGTTGCCCTCTTCGACCCTTCCTGGAGGCCATCTTGGAGGCCTTCTTGGAAGCCTCTTTGGGCCTCTTGAGCTGTCTGCCGTCATCTTGAGGTCATCTTGGGCGGTCTTGGAGGCTTCTTGGGCAACCTTGGAGGCATCTTGAACACTCTTGGGACGTCGTGGAGACCATCTTGGACCATCTTGGGCGAACTTGAAGGCCACCTTGGCCGTCTTGGAGGTCATCTTGGGCCATCTTGAAGCCATCTGGAGCGGAAAAACCGTTTGCAGCCACCTCTGGAAGAGCCTTCCGGGTGGCCGGCGCGCTGCGCCGAAGAGTTCTTTTGGAAAAATACAGAACCAAGCCGAGCACAGGACTCCCAGCACACCGGGCACACCTGCGGCAAGACCACAGGGGGCGGCGGATCGACTGCCCTTCGGCTGATACCGCCACCGTGCCTCGGTTGTGGGTGTTAGGCTTCTTGGATACCTGCTGGGGTCTCTGGGCATGCTTCTCGGGCGCCTCTTGGAGCCAGTTTTGAAGCCTCTCGGGGCCTCTTTGAAGATGTTTTGAAGCCTCTTGGGGCCTCTTTTGGGCCTCTTGGGGGCATGCTGGCGGTCTGGGGGTTCCACTTGGGGCGGAGGGCACGACATGTGAGTTGGAGTCCCCCCTCTTGGGCCCCTGTTGGCGTCATCTTTGCCCGAAGGACTTGGGAGCCTCTTGGACCGTCTTGGGGCTCTCTTGCTCTCTTGGGCCGTCTTGGGGCTCTCTGGGGGGCCCCTTGGGCCGTCTTGGGGCGATCTTGAGGGCCTCTTGAGCCGACGTGGACGCTGCGAATACCTAAAAAGAGGATCTGATGAAACACCGTTTTGCAAAAGAATTGGGGCAAGCTTGGCCAGCCCAGGCCTTCTTGGGGCGAACCTTTTTTGTGTTGCCTTTTGGGGGCGCATCTTGGACCCTTCTTTGCGCCGTCTTGAGAGCATCTCGAGGACTCTTCGGCCGCCTTGAGGCCATCTTGGGACGTCGCGGGCCCTATTGCGCCGAGACGTGCTCCCTGGAGCTGGAGGCCCAAAGGGGGGGATCAAAAGGGGAGGGGGGGAATCAACGAGGGTGTCCTGGCCGCGGGCCCGGGCTCGGGTCACCGCGGCAAGTGACATACGGTGGGGGCATTGGATAAGGAAACCTTCGATAAGGAATCCAGGGTCTGGAAGCCAGTGGAACTCCAATCGTAGAGTTGCCATGGATATCATTGCCGCCCTCATCGGATAAGGAACCCTCCAGGGTCTGAAACCTCCTTGGCCCATTCCTTAACCAACGCCCCCACCGTAACCAATCCATCAGTGAGCTCCGCCAAGCCAGGGACAAGCATCGCCAAGGGGTGCTCATATGCCGCTCCCACGATAACTAGTTGGGGCGCGAAGGCCCTCCCCCGAGCGCAGCCACGCTGGCAAAGCCGCGCATCCTGCTTCGCCTCGGGTGTGGGTCGCGCGGTCCTGGACGGCAAAATAGAACCTCTCCTCAACAAACGACACGCGACTCAAACCACCGAGCGCGAGGGTCCTGAAACTGCTCCACTGAACGTGCAGCCGAGGATGCGTTGCGTGAAACCGGACGGGCGAAGAACGGGGCAGACGTGAGAGGATAAGGAAGGGTGGAGGCGAAAGAGACGGCACAAGCGCGGGCGTGCACCATTTGCGCTCCAGGCCATGCTGACCAGCAGCTGGCCAGCCCAAGCCAATCTCGAGCTGGTCGTGCGTACTGGCAGTGCTCGAGGGGTGCCCGCAAACAGCCAGACGCGCACGAAGGTAGGAGGGGCATGACCTCGGCCCTTACATCCGCCGACACCTCGGGGCCACTCGGCGTGTGAGATTGCTGCCCCCTCCCCGCACCCCTCCATGGGAGCACGGCCTGGCTGTTTTGGAGGGGGGGAGAGTCGGCGGCGACGATGAGGGCGAACAGCCCATGGGGGCGGGCATCACACGCATTCGACTGGGAGCCTTGTCGAAGACATAGATCATCGGCGCCCTGGATACACGTACTGCTCTCCCCTGGGCTATTCGCCCCCATCGTCGCCTCTGAGGCAGGCCCGAAACGGTGCGGTGACAGACCGTGCGGTGAGCTCGAAATCTCCCGAGACCTCAGAGCACGGTCCGTCAACGCACTGTCTTGGGACCTCGGATGCCCCAGTCGCCCGAGACGTCCTCGGAGAACGATTCGCGTCCCAAAACCGTGCGGTGACCCCGAATCCCCACCGACTCACCGCGCGGTGTGGACACCACCCCTTTTGGGGGCCCGCGAGTTTTTTTGGGGGGGAAGGGACAGGAGTGCCGGCAATGCCAACGGGGTGCCAGCGGCCACGGTCCCGCTGCCGGGACGGGCTCCCACAGCTTTTTCGCCAGGCTTCCGCTTTCCCCCAGGTCGCCTCGCCACGTTCTCCGCGTCGCCCCAGAGGGACCCAAGAAGTCCCTGTGGGGCGGGGATTTATCCATACCCACCGCCTGGGAACCGATGTCCTGGTGCCCCGGCGGGCGGTGGACATGGATATATTTTGGCCCCCGGGGGCCCGAATATGTCCATATCCACCGCCTGCCGAGGTCCCCGAAAACTGATCCTGCGCATTATCTTTTTTCCTGTTCCGAGCGTCCAAGACTGCCTCAGAGGCCCTTAAGCTCGAAGCGAGATGGGCCAAGAGGCTCCCGAGAGAGCCCCAGGACGACCCCAGACGACTTCGGAACGGCCCAAGGGGCGCCCAAGGGGACCCCTAGAAGGGCCCAAGACAGCCTCAGATGGCCCACCATGGCCCGAGAGGGGCCCAACGCAGCCCGAGAGTGCACCAAGACGGCCCCACGAGGCGCCTAAGACGGCCCAGGAAGGCCCCGAGAGGCCTCCACAATGCCCAAACGAGCCCCCTGGAGGCTCCCAGCGGGCCTCCAAGCGGCTTCAATCTGCCTCCAAGAGGGGGTGCTGGACGAGAGGCGAGGGGCCCTGGCAGGCACATCAAGAGCAGGCAGTTCTGGGCGGCGTTGTCGTGTTCACGATCGAATCGAAGATGGGATAGTACGAGACGCAATTAACGCAACAATCGGTCGACAAACGAAACAAACAATGAGCTAATCGGAGGTGTCGGAAGGGCGGAGAGGAGGGAGCGCGGAAGGAGGGAGGGCTGGGGAGAAGGAGGAGGAGGAGAAGGAGAAGAAAGAGGATATGAACATAAACGCGTGAATCGACAACCGATGATCAAGTAACTATGATCTCGGCATCCGCGGGCCACACGGGACAGGCGGTGTGGCGTAAGCCAGCGAATCAGCCGACTGTGGCGCGGGTGTGTGGCGCGCCCGAGCTTGCGTTGCCCGTGGAAGAAGCGCTTGCAGAACTGACCAGCAACAACTGTCGCATCGCTCCGCGCGGCGGCATGCACATGGCGAGCCCACATTCGGGTCAGCGCGCTCACAATCCAAGTCCTCGCCTCCCGCAGCATCATCCCACCTTTGCCTCCTGCCTCCCGCGAGTGATGAGTGAAGGCCACGCCGTGGGCACGGGAGCGCCAGTGGCAGCGCTGCGCTGATACAAGCCTCCCAGATGGGGTCGGAGGAGAGGGGGTCGGAGGATCGCAACGCATCGCCGATACATTGGCGATGCATCGGCGACGTCGGCAGTGCACCGGCAACGCCGGCGTGGAGAAAATCGGGCTCCACATCGAGCCGCATCGCCGGTGCATCGGCGATGCAGCGCGATCCTGCGATCCCATCGACTCGGACCTCATCTGAGCGACGGAAAAGAAACGGCTCTTACGCAAAGGGACATAGCGACCTTACCCCGCGGCTTACGTGGCCCGCCAGCGCGGGACGCCACTCTGGGCAGCTTGCGCGCCAATGCCGGCAAAGACGACCCCGCCCTGCTGCGCCGCTCATCAGAGAGGCCTAGAACTGACCTCTCGGGGATCTACTGACCCGGGTCAACCCACACCCATGCCAGTCGGGCTTTACAGGATCCAGCTGGATGCTGCACGCAAGCCCGGGCCAGAGCAGCCCTGACTCTGCAGCATCCTGCAGGATCCGGCGCTCTAGCTGACCCGACCCCCGTTTGCATCGAGGCTACCGTCTCCAGGCTCCCGAACCTCCCGGCTTCAGAGGCTCACGGTGGTGCTGGGCCCGAACTCGCCCGCGAGCGTCCGCGGGCCCCCGGCAGACGGCGGCTGCGCGCGCCCGGCACGCTCGAGGCCGGGCCCGGCTCTCTGGCCGTGGGCGCAGCGCTGGGGGCGGGCGGCCGCTGCCGCCGTGTGGGTGGGGCCCGGCAGCGGCCGCGCCGGCGCTCCGCGGTGGCGGCCCCGCGGCAGCTGCGCCTGGCTGCCACGGCTGGGCTGCGCCTGCTCTTCGGGCTGGTCCTCCTGGGCATCGGTTCACCGGTGCCTGTCCCCACCTGGCGCGGCCTGGGCCCCACTGGCCGTTTTGCCTCCCCAGAGGGGGATATGGGCTGTGCCCTTCGGGCTTCGGTGGGCATATCCCCAACTGGGGTGGTGGGATGGTGGGGATGGGGCTGGGGATGGGATCGGTTAAACGATACTGACCTCCAGCTGCAGCAGATTGCCCCGCTCTACCAGCCAGCTGCGCGTCTTCTTGGAGGGGCGGACGCGCTTGAGGTCCCTGGAGTTGTGCTGGAAGTGGCAGAACGTGCAGTCCTGCCCCTTCCAGCATACTGCCAGTGCGAAGAACAGGCATGGCTTGCAGCCCCCGTGCGCATGGTCGAAGCTGCCCGTGGATGGCATCTGCTGCTGAGCTTCTTGCTCCTGCTGCAGCCGCGAGGTGTGGTGGTATTGCAGCTGGTAGTGGCGGAGTGGCTCACTCTGCTGCTGCTGCTGCTGCTGCTGCTGCTGCTGCTGCTGCTGCTGCTGCTCGCGCCGCTGCTGGGACTGCTGCTGAGGCTGTTGCTGATGCTGGCGCGGCGCCGCATCGTACTGCCAGCCTTGCTGGTGGGGCTGGGCGACTAGTGCTAGAGCGAGGCGTGTCAGCGGCACCGCTGCCGGGTCAGGGATGAACTCCAGAACTCTGGTCGGACGGGTTGTTTGGGGCTGGGCGCTCCAAAGCGGGGCGCCGGCGCCTTCGAGCGCCACTCGCTGCGGCATCGCGTGGGCCTCCCAAAGCAGCGTGCGGTGCGACGGCGCAGCCTGCCGCACTGGTGGGTGCCGTATCGAGTCACCTCACTGTTCGGCGGCAACTCATGGAAGCCTCCCATACCATCTTTTTGGCTCTTGCGAATCGACGCTAATCGACGCTGGTCGACGCTAATCCACGCTGAGTCGACGCTAAATCGAAGCCAAGTCGACGCGTTCTCATCGACTGCCAGACGCAAGCGCACGCCAACGCACTCTACTCTAGAGACTGACTTCCGAGGACATAAGATTCCATGATTTGCTACCGAATCATTGGCAGGAGCTCAGACATGCCCGAGCTGTAGCCGCAATTGCTTGAGCGAAGAGCGAAAACAGCTACGGAGCACAACAACCTTGCCAAACTTTGTCCCACCGTTTGGCCACGCCGTCGTTTCCAGAAAGGCAGTGGTGCGGCGGTGATTTCCCGCAGGTGTCTTGGATCGAGGCGGCACGATATACTGTCTCTTCTCCAGTCTCGAGGTGCTCTTTAAGCCGTTCTGGGGTAATCGTCGGCCTGCCTTCGTCGTTCGCTCCTCGGCTCCCTCGCAGCTTTCCCTGGGGTCGGCGAAATCAGCCGTAAGGCTTAGGTCGGGCATGTCCTCCTGCAGGCGGATTTTGGATGGAAAAATTTAAAGAGTCAGCCAATGTTCAAACACAGCCAGGAACAGTCGAAGAATCGTCCACATCATTTTCAACACAGTTTTTCGAACACTCCTCCGGCAGAGGGACACGCCCGACTTCACCGCCAGGCCTCTCCAATCAGAGGCCTGAGGTCCGCGCGGACTTCTTGGGTCGGCGATGGACCCTCCTCCCGAAGCCCCTCCCGGGCGGGCGTGGCACGGCGGGGGGGGGGGGGCGCCGCGCGGGCCTCCGATATCTTGTGTGCATGTCCCGTGGGTGCTCTTGGATTCTCTGTTCCGCTGCAGGTGCGGAGGATCAGAGTGCTGAGGGACCCATTGGTCGGACGAAGTGGGGCAGAATCACGAGGCAGGAAGACGTTGGTCACGGATTGAGCTTCCGTCCGCCCCCTGAAGACGAAGAAAGAGGGAACACCGCCGAAAGTAGATTGGAATCTGGGGATCTACTTTGAAACTACCGATGCGTAAATAACAGTAAAGAGTTCGGGCCGCGCCGCAAGTCTTGTTCACCAGGTGGGGTGTACGGGCGTCGAGCTTGCCACACCTCCGGCGGACCGATCTTCTCATTCCGGGGGTAGCTCAGCTCCCGACCCCTTCCCCGAAGGCCGGCCTTTCATCTCGGCGGTCTTCCCGATGGCCCCGTGAGCCGACATGGATCACGGAGGTCGAAGGGACGAAGAACGCCCGGATTGACGAGACCAGTCCGCCAGAGGTCTGGCTTGGGGCATGGCAGCGAAGTCTGTGCGCTGCAACGGCCATTACACCGAACGGGTGCGACGCACATGTCTTCGAGCTTCTAGGATAAGAGCTTGTGGCCTCCGAGATTCCTGGCGCCATTGAGGCCGCTATGACTATCGACACGAACTTCTGGTGCTCGACCCCAGGCCTCTGGGGACTGCAGAAACATCGTGCCGGATGGCGTCTCGCATTTTTGCCGAGGCAGTCGCGTCTGACTGGGAACAATGATGCTGGACAAGGGCGGCAAGCAGCACAACTGGCGAGAAATGCCAGAGCAGAAGCACGAGCCGATGAGCCGAGAGAGCCGCGTCAGACTGGGAGAAGGGGCGTTGGATAGGGGCGGCGAGCCATACAACGAGCGAGACGCACAAGAGCAGGAGCAGGAGCCGGGAGAAAGACGCAGGACGAACAGAACAACGAAGCCACACACACACACACTCACACTCATACTCACACTCACTCACACTCACACACACACACACACACGCACACACGCACACACGCACACACGCACACACGCACACACGCACACACGCACACACGCACACACGCACACACGCACACACGCACACACGCACACACGCACACACGCACACACGCACACACCCACACACGCGCGCGCACACGCGCACACGCGCACACGCGAACACGCGCACACGCGCACGCACGCACACACGCACACACGCACACACGCACACACGCACACACGCACACACGCACACACGCACACACGCACACACGCACACACGCACACACGCACACACGCACACACGCACACACGCACACACGCACACGCACACGCACACGCGCACGCGCACACGCACACGCACACGCACACGCACACGCACACGCACACGCACACGCACACGCACACGCACACACACACACACACGCACGCACACACGCACGCACACACGCACGCACGCACAAGCACACACAAGCACACACAAGCACACACACACACATTTTTTCCGTCGGCGGCGAGGCAGAATTCGCTGCACCAGCGAAAGAGCTAGACGGGGGCACTGAAAAGTTAATTGGCCAGCGTGCAGGAAGGGAAAATGGGGAGACAAGCGGCGGCGGGGGGGGGGAAGGAGAAGATAAGGCCACTCCGAGGTGGAAGAGTTCGCATCTGAGTGTGCTACGCACCCGCACAGAGCCCGCATGTCTGCACACACACACACACACAGAGCTCGCCTGTTCTTGTCTCGCATGGCCGCCATGTCGAATCCGTCCTCGGGGGGACGCCGGCTGTGCACCAGCGCCGATCCTGGCCAAGCTGGTCTTGGGCCAAGGACGCGCCTGGCCAAGATCCGTGCTGTTGCGCACGATGGATTGTTTCGGCGGTGAGCGAGGGAGGAGGTGAGAAGGAGAAGGTCTTCTCAGAAGGCGGCGGGACTTCTCAGAAGCCCTCGCGCCTTCTGAGAAATCTTCTGTGTTTCCGGGGGAAGGCTTAGACAACTTATCAGAAGGCCAGGGGACTTCTGAGGCTTCTGAGTTCTCCCTCTCACTTCCCCCCCTCGATCGCCGCCGAGTGCCGTGTGCACGACGGAATGTTTTTGTTCCAATCCCAGCGCCTGACCTTCACAAGGGTCTCCAAATCAGTTTTTGTTCGGGCCCTGGGGCCGTCAAGCGCAGATCGAGAGTGAGAGGCTCCCTCTTGAGAAGGGGTCGGGAACTCTGCCCGCGAGCGGATAGGTTCCAGGCGAACGTTGGTCATTCGGCGTTTCGACATGGGGCCGAAGGGGGAGGGGAGGGGGGGGGTCTGGCTCCAGACCTCTGCTCAATGCGACTGTCTCGAAAAAGGCAGCCTCTGGGGGGAGACTCCACCCGCTCGGAACAGGCGCCCCAAAACAGCCAAGATTCACTCCATGGGGGTGCGGGGAGGGGGGGGAGTGCGGGGGCCCGCGCCGATCGGCAAAACAATGGATACCAAAAACGATCACTAGGTTCCATCCGTCGTGTGTCTGGATACGGCGGGCTCACGTCGCAACGGAGGCGGTGCTGGTTTGTGGCATCGCGTGGATCGTTGAAGCTTGAGCGATCACAGCCTGGCGAAGCTCGTGGACGCGACGCCGATCACGCGAGAGGCTCGCTTCTAGCTCGCGGGCGATGCATGTTCTCCAAGAGTCGAACGCGACGGCGTCAACGACCCCTTTCCCTCACAGGAGGGGGCTCGCAGTGCAGGCAAAGCTGCCCCTTCCCCCACGGAGGGGGGGGGGAATAGTTCGATGATTTAACAGCTCGAGGGCTACGTAGCACCGATCCTTCGATGTCGACCGACTCTGGGCCACTGCCGGCGCCTCACCTTGCACGCCCGCGCGCGGGGCGCCGCCGCACCCGCGCGGCGCAGGCCCACCGCAGCTGGCGCCCCCGGATCCTGCTGGTTTAGTCTCAGCGCCTCCGTCACCAGGCTGGGCTGCGCCTTCGGAGGGGAAGGGAGCGGGTGCCATGACCAAGACCGAGCGCGCGGCAACGTCGTGTCGATCCAGGTCACTGTCAATCTTCGCCAGCGTCAGTGCGCAAATGCGACGGCTGACATGGACCGCGACCAAGATCAGCATCGATCAGATCCCGCGACATCTTGGGAATTGACTACCTACCAGGCCACCCCAACCCAACTCGAAGACCCGAATTTCGGGTTGGGGGGGTATGGGTTCCATATGTGTTTTCTCGATGTTCCCCGACCCCCCCCCACTGGAAATGGAGGTCCATTCGAGGCCTTCGGGTTGGGTTGGGGTGGTTTGGTGGGTGGTGAGGAATGGTCCCCGTGTTTCTTCCCTCGAGGCCTTGGCCATTGCCCTCAGCCACTTGTGGCTCCAGCACGGCCTCTCCGCGCGCGCGCGGGCCGGTCGCAGGGCGCGTACGCCCCAGCTCGGGGCCCGCCGCGGAGCAAGGCAGCCGAACCAGGAGGAGGAGGAGGACGAGGACGCCACCGACCAGGAGGAGGAGGACGAGGAGGAGGAACAGGAGGGGGCGGAGGAGGAGGAGGAGGAGGCCCCGAGCCAGCGCCTCTCGCCCCGTTGACCTCCGTTTCAGTCGCACCCGCGCCCCTCGCCTTCGCGACCGCGCCCGCGCCTCTCGCCCCGAGCGGGGCAGCCGCGCCCAGCGCCCCCCCCCCCTCCCGCCCCGCGCACCGAAACCGCCCCCCAGCGCGGCGCGCCCGCCCCACGCCCGGCGAAGCACGGCGGGCCTCTGCGTTCCCCTATAGATGTTCTTGAAAACGTTGGGAGCGTTCATATTCCCCCGGTTTCAAGATCGACGTCTTTTCCTGCTTTGGGAGCAGTTTTTTTTGTTTCTCCGTCTTGGGCCTCGCCGGTGCAGCGCGAAACGCTGAACACAAGGCAAAGAAGCCCCCCAACGCTTTTGAGAACAACTGAGGACCCGGCCCCACCCCCCACCCCTCGGCGATGGACGATAGAGCCCCCCCCCCCCGCGTTCGCGCCTTCAGCGAGGCCCAGCCGTCTTCGGTCGGAGCAGGGCGAGCTGAACCACGGGTAGCGCGGAGCCGGTCCCAGGACCCCTGCCACGGGGTCCAAGAGCGCGGCAGTCTTCGAGCCGCGTCCAAGCGAGGCGACGAGGGCCCCAACCAGAAAGCCAACTACAGTCGGGGCGCTTTTGACGACACGTGCGTATAGCAACTGGAACTCAGAGAGAGAGAGAGAGAGAGAGAGAGAAAAAAAAAAAAAAAGAGAGAGAGAGAGAGAGAGAGAAAAAAAAAAAAGATACATGCAAAAGGGCCTGGGCCTGCCCGCCTAACGCCCTGCACGTCCCCGAGGACGCGAAGCACAGACCGACGGCGCAGACCGGAGCCCTGTCGGCACAGCCGGAGACGCCAGGGGGCCGAGCTCCAGGAACCGCCGTGCCTGCGCGTGGTGCCAGGGGCCCTGGGCGCGCAGCCCTGCTCGACTCCGAGGCGCCTCGCGCGGTTGCTCGCGGGCCCGCCCTGCCCTCCACGTCCGAGGTGCCGTGGACAAGATCACGGCCGAAGCCCTCTGCCCGCGAAGGTCTGGGCCGAATCCGCGTCGAGGCGAGGCACCGATGTGCGTCCAGACGAGCGTCCAGACGAGCGACCCTACAAGGACACGGCGGGTGAACCAACCCTCCCGCGCGAAATTCGCGATCAAAGCGCGCGTGAAGAAAAAGGTTCCGAAGTCCCAATCTCGGGCTGACCCAAAAGGGGGTCCAGCGACAAGGGGGTGGTGCAATAGATTTGGTGCAATAAGTTTGTGGGGTTGCAATACCTTTGGGGCGTGCAACACATTCCGGGGCGCTAATGTATTGCTGGCTTTTCGCGTGCAATACGTTACTTGCAATACAATGCAACACAATTCTCCCGCGAAACACACTTGCAATACAATTGCCCCAAATCTACTGCACCGCCCCCTTCAGCTGGACCCCCCTTGGGGTCACCCAGACAATCGGGCCCCGGAACGTCGATCCGTGCCGACCACGGGAGCTGAGCCCCACGAGAGGCCGAACCGCGAAAGCCCCAGTCCCGCGTCGAGTCGCGAAGGTCCCCGTCGGCCCGTGGAGGGCCGAGCGCCTCCCGAGCCTGGCCGGTCCGCGGGGATCACGGGGCCCGACACCGGGCGGCAAGTCCCGAACCGCGGTTCTGGGGGGACCACCTGCGAAGCCTCCCCCCACCCCCCACGATTTCTGAGGGGGGAGGGTGGGGTTCACTTCGCTCCCCCCCCCCTCAGAAATCGTGATGCCCCTGCCCCCCACGATGTCTGAGGGGGGGAGGGCGGGGTTCACTTCGTTCGGGAGCTCCCGGGCGAGGCGAACCCCGCCCTCCCCCTCAGGAATCGTGGGGGGCAGGGGCATCACGATTTCTGAGGGGGGGGGAGCGAAGTGAACCCCACCCTGCCCCTCAGAAATCGTGGGGGGTAGGGGTAGGGTTCGCAGGTGGCCCCCTGCTTTCCCCAGTGTGGTTCTGCAGTTCGCTCTGGCTGTAGGAGGTCGCTGGCAAGAGGGCCGGCGGCAGGGCGGCTCGTGGCGGCGGGCTCCCCGGGTGTCTCCTCGGCGCGGGCTCGGTTCCCAAGGACATCTCACTGCTTTGCCTTGTTCTGCTCTGGGATGGCATGCTCTGCGTTGCGTTGCTGATCGGCTGTACTTTGCGTTTCAACTGGACTGACTTCTAGAATGCGTTGCGTTGCGCTCCTTTGCGTGAAACGCTGTTGTACCGCTTTTCATGACATTGCGATGCGTTGCGCTGCTTCGAAGCGAGATGCAGTGCAAGTCGCTGCATTTGCATTGTTGCTTCGCGTTGCTCTACGCTACACTGCATCACTGCGCATTGCGCTGCAATGCTAAGCAAGGCGGAGCAACGTGTTGCCTTGCTGCACTGCACTACGCTCGAGCAACACCAGGATGCCACGAATACGGGTGAATTGCGCTTGCGCTCGCACTCTGACGCGACGGCGAGCAGAAATCGAACTTCAAATCGTGGGAGACGCCTCTCTTCTCTGGCGCTGCGCCAGATGTCGGCGAAATTGTTGCGCCCGCAATAATTCTGCGTGACAGCAATGGTGTCGTCCAAGTTGACGACGCAGTGCCACCACTCGCCCGGCACGAATATCGTGTC